ACAAAAAAATGAGGAATTTCAAATAGTTAATTTGATACTAATATCGATATATTTTTGTCAAATTTTTATGATATCGTCAGACATATTTTATTCAAAAATAAAAACATCATCGCTTTCTCAAAATCATATAAAGTCATATTATAACATCGACTGAGATAAAGAATAAAATGAAATATTAAAAACACGATGTATCTCGTTGCATTGTGGGAACACGCTTCTAGTATATTTATAAAATATTTTAATATTATAATAATACTGAAGTTTTAAAAATAAAATAATTGTTAAAGTAAATTTAATCATTTTTATAAAATTAATGTTTTATTTTAAAAAAGATTGTAGAGACGAAATTGCCCTCTAACCATCATGAACAATTTAAACATGGGGCCAGTGGGTACATTTCCTAGAGAAAGTGAATCCAATCATAATGGTAAATTGCTTTTCATGGCTGTCGTATCTAACACTACCAAGAAAGACCATAATGCCCTTACTATTTGGGTCAAAAACAAGTTTGACCAAATCAATATAAAAATCAAACGGTTTAAAATTTATACACGTGTATTAATGTGATAACTATGAAAACTTCTAAAACTAATATTTAACATATTAATAAATATATATTTGTTTTACAATATATTTATTTTATATGTATTCAGTTTATAATTTAAAAATTTTTATATATAACATTTGTTTTTACAAACACGTTCAAAAGGTTCATGTTATGAAACAGATACATGTGAAATAAATATATTATTAATCAACATTTTAATACCTAATATTAAATTAAAAGAACTCAAATAAAATAACACATGATACATAAGTTTTTAAAATTATCATAGTTTCATAAATTTTATAAAAAAATCCTTATAAATAATATAGATTTAAATAATAATTTATTATTTAAATTTAAAAATAAATAGTCTCATAAGTCATAACGTGGATAGACATTGGATTGGACACACAAGACGGTACAGCTGTAATGACAAATCTGAGTGCTAACTTCTACCCTTTTTGTGTTGGTGGAAGTAGATATGTATTTTAAAATTAAATAAAAACTAAAATTCATATTTTATTAAAATTCTGACCAGATCCATATGTCAAGCAAATTAATAATTTATATGATTTCTTTTATTAAAAATAAAATCTTACATTTATAGTTTTTTATTACCCTATTAAAAATACATATTATCAAATCACTTGATTCTGAGCTGTGATGTACAGATTCAGGTTCAAATGATTGTACTGAAAATCTCATTTTTTTTACAGTTTAAATCATTTAACCTGCCGAAAAATTAATCGTCATAGATAAACCGACTCAGATACCAAAATAAATACATCGTCAATTATATATATCTCGTCATGATTAAATCATTTATATTATTTGGTCATTTAACTTTAATAAAACAAGTCAATTATTTAAAATAATATATAATTAAATAAATGCAATAATAGGTTGTACGGTACAAGTAACAAAAGCAGGCATTGATGGGGTAGGTGGTAATATGAGGTAGCATGTGTTTTGGTGTCACACCTAACCATAATATCTCGTGTGTGGTTCCACACCACCCAATTATAATACGGCTCACCACAAAAAACCAAACCTACTTCTTTTATTTAATTTGTCAAAAAGTCAAAACTACCCTCTTAAATTCTCTTTATTTTCAAAATACATACATATATATATATATATATATTAGTTTATTATAAAATAATGAATAAATCTATGTTAATTTATTTGTAAATATATATTTTTTTTTCATAAATATGTTACATTATATCGAAGAAGTTGGATAGTCAAATCAATATTGTTTTTAGCATCGGAAAAGAGTACGAGTGTGTTTAAAAGGATTACATGATATATGAAGACTAATGATACCGTTTTGAATTCAGTTATATGCATTTATTGAACCGTAGATCTTCTTAAGACCCTAAATATATATAGCAGACTAAATATGTTTTGTCTTCTTTATGGACTTATTTAAATTATCATCTAAAAAGCTCAATTCATTGAACAAGTATAACCCAACCGTCTACATTCAGATCATAATTCGGTTTTCCGCTCTCTGTCTACTACGAAACTATAGAAATTAAACGAAGTCTACGAAATCCAACCTCAACCAAACGGCTTCTCGTTGAAACTTAGGGGCCGTTTACTAAACGCTTACCCGGTAAGTACTTACCGGATAATTTTCCTCACCGGATGAACATGGCAAGGGCCAAGAATCTTACCCGGTAAGAACTAGGATAAGGATGAAGAGTCTTACCCGGTAAGTAAGGGTGACGAGCGCTTACCAAGAAAATTGTTTCACGGAATACGTTTTGATGTACTACAACCTTACCCAATAAAATAAATTATAGTGTTGGCTCCTAACAATAAGCATTTACCAGGTAAGCATTTAGGTAAACAGCCCCTTACTCGAACAAGTATTCAAAACGAATTATGAACGATGAGGAATTCAAATTCACTTCAATATCATGTGGCCGACCATCTCGAGCCTCGTAAACCGAATACAACTTGGTTTTTTGAGTTGGAAATTAAGTCAACGGATCACATAACTTTTCATCAAAGAATAGAAAGCAACCAGAAACTAAATCTGAAAACCAAGAATTAACAAGAAATTGACTTACTATTTATGGTAAGAGGCTCCGGATCAGCGCCGTGCCTGCAGCGAGCAACTCTTTCCACTTATGGAAAGTTTGGGTTGGAGACGGTGGCAGAGGGTGGAGGGAGGGAGGAGAGAGTAAGATATGGGGTGGAGGGGTTGAATCTTATGGAGCAGAAGGGTTAGTATTTATTTGACTCATGGTTAGAGTCCACCTACCCTCAAAAAGCAATTGGATCCATCATTATTTTAACAATATACTCTGGAACAGTGACTGTGTTCCAATTGGTCCACTCTTTGTGACTTGGTAGGTGGGAATGTTAGCTGCCAACTCCATGACAAACTAATTTCCACTTTGTTTTTTAAGAGTTGTTAAAGTTTGAAATTTTATTTTACTTTTGATTTATAAGAGGTAGTATTGAAGTCTGAAATCTGAATCAGTCAGACTGTTTGTTTTTACGTCTGAAATCTGAAATCTGAATCAATATAAACACGAAAAAAGTCTCATAACGACTAGAACCAATATTCATATTGCATTAATTGTGTCGCCATCATCCCTTGCTCATTGGTTTGATCATACTCAAAAAATAACTCATATATAGGAGAGATTGATTTGTAGAGATCGTTTTAGATAGATCGGTAGCTTGAGACCGAGCGAGAGATCAATATGGTGTCTAGATCGTATGATGTGGATAAATCGGTATGATTTGGTAGCTGGAAATCAGGCGAGAGAACGAGAGATCGATATGGTGTCCTCATGTGTTAATAAGAGCCCATTAAGAGTTTAGACTACCACTTAAAAATTCAGAGGACAATAAGAGCTTTTCAGCTCTTATTTTCAAAAAAAATCAAACGGTCTGAAAATAAAAACGTCTGACCGATTCAGACTTAAGAAGTATTAAGAGTTTTTTTTTTTAAAAAACAAACAAGCCCAATATTGGTCCAAACCCACAAAATTTTAAACTGGAGGGGCCTTTTCTGAAGTCTTCACAAATCAAGGGTTTGTTTGAACATTTTACATTTTAGTTTATGATTGGAAGAGTTTTCATGTTTTAGTGGAAATGTGTAGTGTTTTTTAGAAGTGTAGGTTGGAGATGGTCTTAATGGTGTCATTAAGATATAACATCTGATTCAGTGAAAAGAGTATTTTGTTGGGGTACATTTACCTTTGAAATAGTTCAAGCAACTTCTGAATGATTTTTCATCTAGGGAAAACCTGTAGTATTTAGCCGGCGCATTATACCTGCATTGCCTTTCAAACTATCTCTGGCTCTCCTCCTCTCACGTCGTTGCTTGATTCACATTGATGGTCATTGTTGTACGTAGCTGCATCGCTAGTCGTTGCTTCTTGCTACTCACCGTTACATCTAGTTTTCTCACATCTACTTGTATTTCACCGGTTACTTTCATACATTCCTTCATGTTTTGTCTCTTGTTAAACTCCTACATGTCTGATTACTGGTTACAAATGTTTGTTTTACATCACATTTCTTTATTTTCTCTGTTTTGATCTATGGTTACGTTAATCTTCTTTGTTTTGATGGCATGGTTGTTGTTTCAACATTGTCTCTTTCCTTCTTGTTTGGCAGTTGTTTCAAGAATTATGAAGAGTTCCAAGCACCTTATTGTCGCAGGTTTATTTGTAAGTGAATTTTAGGTGAATCATTCAAGATAGCATCGTTGCTGCATATGCTTATAGAAAAGGAAATTCTTAATATTATGGTTGTTCAAAATATTGCATAGATACACACCATACAAAATCGCATGGTTTTGACCTTTTGCAGTACTAATATCAAAATTAGTGTATGTGAAAGTGAATTGAAGGCATGTAAAAGCAGATCATACCAAATTTGGAGTGAAACAAATCAAGGCCAGTGTTACAGTGATTTTTGTTGGCCAATAGCCGAAGGTAGTTTAACCAAGACCGCAATTGCAGTGACCAAATATATAAATTTGGAGAAATCGGCTAACATATTTTTGCAAACTTGTTAACTAATTTACATATTTAGTCCCTGTAATTGCGGATCTGGTTCAGAAAAATTCATTTTTTTACACTTTGATATCTCTACAAACTGCGGATTTATCAATTGCAGATCTATGATTATTTTCGTAATTTTAAGAGAGAAATGACTAAGAGATAAGATCCACCGATTAAAATAACTATTTTAATTAATTTATATGCTTGTATTGTATCGTGTGTGATGATGAAGAAGTGATCGCATGGATGGTATGTTGGGAGAGAGATACCATGATGCATAAAAATCTCCCCATTAATTTGAAGGAGATAAAAGGCCACCTACTCAGTGTGTTGATAAGGGATATTATTAATTCATTCCCATGCTGTAAATATCTACGTACGTACTAGAGATGCCAAAAATGGGTCCGGACCAGTCCCAATCGGTCCTCACCTTTTTTCAGTCCCGACGTAACCGGTCCCGGTCTCGGTCCTTGTCCCTGTGTTCGGTCGAAAATGATAGGACCTGTCAAGGTACTTCATAACCGGTTATGGGCCGACGGTCCCGGTCCAGGTCCCAACCGGTCCTTGCATTAAAAAAATAAGATTTTATTTTTATTTTTTTAATGATATATATTTTTAATACATTATAAAATTTACAATTGGGTCACTCAAATACACTTTAAAAATGCGTTTTAATATAATTAAAATTACGTTTTCTTATAAAAATACATTATAAAATTATTTAAAAATATATTTATTTATAAAATTATTTGAATTTTCGGGCCAGGTCGGGCCGGTCCATAGTCGGTCCCATAACCGGTTACCCAGGTACATTGGACCCGCAACTACCATCTTATGACTTAATTATTATATTATATAGGGCAAATTGCATGAAAAAGTAATGTACTTTAACTTGATTCTTATTTTGGGTCAAAACTTCTATTTTGGTACTTAAGATGTAAAATTTTAAACATTTAAGTACCCGGGTAACTGGTTGAAATATTAACCTATTATCATGTTGATGTGTCGAGTGATGTGGTATCCTACTCGGTATTATTTGCTGACCTGATCAATGACGTGGATTTTTTTAAATCTAAAATTAGTCTTTTTTTTTGTCTAAAATTAGTCTTCACTGAGTTATCCGGGTACTTAAATGTTTAAAACTTTACATCTTAGATACCAAAATGAAAGTTTTGAAAGTACATTACCCAAAATAGGAATCAAGTTAAAGTACGTTAATTTTTCATGCAATTTGCCCTTTTATATACATAAATTAGTTTATAACTTAATTTATCTTTTAATTCAACATTTTTTTATTATAATTTAATTTAGGTTTAATAAGGAAGTAATTTTTTTTTCATTTAATAATATAATTTTTTATAAAGATAATAATTAAGTATTCTGTTAGAAGACAATGATTATCCTAATTATATTTTAGATTATTTATATTTAAAATGAAATGTTTATCCAATATTTGATTATGTTTATCTGTAGTTAGTTACACGAATTCAAGTATGGAGCTTTAATAAGTTGTATTTATGCATTATTACATGTAATCTTGAATTTCAAATAATATGCATCAATAAACAGTACTTTATGCATAAAAAATGATCTTTAAGAGTTTTTGTCAAATGCTTTATAATATAATATAGTATATATATATATATATATATA